GGTCAATGGATCGACGAAGAAGACGCACGAATGAGAATCAAGAATGTGAAACGAGATGATATCGATCGATTCGAATCGAGAGAAGGAAATGTGATTGAAGGGAAATTGGAATATTAAGCGGTCGATTATACTAATTTTTTTCATCTCTCGAGATTACGCGCACAGAGATAGGAAATATCGATACGAACGATGCTCGACATTTTTTTTATTTATCTTATATCTTGATAAAGTAAGAAAAGGAGAAAAGAAAAGAAAAAAACGATCGGTCGGCTAATTATCGTTGGCTCGAGATCCGAGTTCGAACGTTCGATGCATAACTCGGGAATAAGGAAATGGGTGGGTGAAATTTATTTTATCCTACCTGAAGCACCCTCTTCGAAAGCCCCGTCTTCTGCGCCAGTTGCTTGAGGTCCTTCGCGTCCGGATTCTGATTTATAGCAAAATAATTCTTCATCGTCCGCAACTGATGGTGCTTGAAGCTCGTTCTCATCCGCTTGGTTCGTTGGCTCTGGTGCACGGGCCCCGGTGAGCCGACAGACGCTTCGTACGCCGCCAATGATTCCATGGACGAGGACAGTTCGGTCGGGTGGAGAAGTTCTGCAATCGAATTATTATCCCCCTTCGATATTTCGATAAACTTTGGATTTTTAACTGGGAAATGCGTTCCAATTCTTTCTTATAATTCTACGTTTTCTACGTGATTCAAGTTTGGAAGCTTGATCTTGATTTCGTCCGGTATAAGAGAATAATTGTAGCGGAAATAAAAAAATTAATCGAGGAATTAAAATTTGAACGGTATATGAAAATATACGAGTGAAAAGAAAAATGAAATTTCTCTTGTTCGCGATAAATAAAGTCAAGATGGTGATTGAACGTGTTATTGGCGAGCATCGAATGACGGAACGAACGATCGATTCGGTTCTGATTTTTCTTAAGAAGGATTAACGAACGGCGAAAATAAAGATGAGAGGAGTGGAATGGAACACATGGACTTTCTCGATCCGATCGGCTTATGAGACACGCAGTTGACGTAAAAAGATGGAACAGCGATCGGGTGAAAAAAGGCAGGCGTCGATCGAACGATAGAAACAAACAAAACGGTGGATGGTAAACGAGAGGATTCCTCTTTGATCGTTGGTGAACGGTGGTGCTCGTGATCCATCAATCGGTACCAATCAACCGACTATCTGACCCATCTATCGAACGATTTGTTCTTCTGTTTGGCGACAATCGTGGAACGGAGATCTTAGAAAATGATCAATGCGAAAGAATTTTTCGATGGCGGATGGCGGCCGAAATTAGATCCTCGAGAGAAACTCGAGGAAGGTTATCTCTCATCGTCCATGCGTCTTTCGTCAAGTAACGTGGGATTTTGTAACAACGGAAAACCAGCTACTATTTATAATTCAATTTTTAAATTAGCATACAAGGCGTGCTCGTCATTTTGAATTCTTGAAAATTGTATCGTGCAGGACAGGTGCAGCGATAAATTAGAGAGAGCAAAAGTTGAGATAGGCATCGAGAGATATAATATGACTCGTATCTCCTCTTCTACCTGCTCCTCAACCCTCCCTTCTCCTAAATTAATTCGTCTCTAATTCGTTTCTATTCGACGATTCGAATGGACGATTAAAAATCAATTTTAATAATCAAAATATAATAAAATTTCCAGCTCTTCCATCATGTCGTCTTACAAGATTCCAACGACAATTAAAATCCTCGAACGAGTACTAGATATTCTTCATGCTTCTTCTTTTTTCAATCGTTAAATAACACAGATTAGAACTTGAAAAAAACTTCGATCGCACACTTTCATTCGATCTCCAGGATCTTCTCGTTCTCCGTCCAAGAAAAATGTAAAATGGGGGGACGAGGCGAATTTCCACGCGCGCAAGAATGGAAATTTCTTCGCGATCGGATAAAAGCGGAGGCTCCCCCCTCCCCGGGAGCGCAGGGGACGACATCGGTGTGCAACGGTTGCGAAGCCGTTGCGCGCCGGCGGAGCGAAGGAACGCATCCAATAAATAAGACGACGAGGGTAACCATTGAATTCAATCGGAGAGAAAGAACGGGTTCCAGGCGACGTTCGTGGACAGCCGCTGCGCGCCAACCGGGGACAGGGGGGCCGAGTGGACCACGACCAGAAGTAAATCCCCGAGCACGTATCCGCCATTACTGTTTATTGTCCCGAACTTCCATTCCCTGCGGACGCGACGTTGGCTCGCGATCCAGAAAAGAGAGGAGAACACCGACGTTGGAATTCGTTTTGTTGGCGAAAGGGTGAACGACACCGATTTTTCTCTCCAGGATCGGACGGAGAGCGAATTTTCATCTTAATTCCCGAGTTTAGAGAATTTTCCCGGTTTGAACGGATGCTTGGCTTGGAAGACTAGACCAAGATCGTAACCATTATGAAACTTGAAACGTTCGAGTCGTACGTTTCTTCTCTTTTTTTGAAATTTTTCCAATCTTAATATTAACAGTGAAACACGCTGGGTACGGATGAGAATGATGGATCGTTTTAAAGGAGATTACATTTCGAGTTACAGTTTGGGGACAATAAAACGATTCGAAACGATTGGATTTTTACCACCCAGAGGTTGGCCACCACTGTATCGTTCGAGGCAAGAAGCAGTTTATATAACCCGTTTATATCCAATATACGGGAAAAATCGAGCGTTTTCTATACTCTGCTGGAACACCGTGGACAAAAAGCGTCTCGAGTCACGTTCGACCTAATCCGACCGAATGGATGGGAGGGGAAGCCAGTTTCCCCGCGCGCAGGACTACACCCATTCATTGCACGGCCGGCTCGAGAAAAAGCGAAGAAAATCGAACGGCTCCGGCTCGATTCCCAAACGATTCGCTTTCCCTCCAGAAAACCAGCTCTATCAATAAACGGGGGGCGGACGGAGGCCTGCAAAAGGAATACGCAAGTTTTTTTCATCGAGCTGGCCTGGTTCCCAAGCTCCTCCGAGCACGAAAAAGGAGGGAGGAGGAGGGCGGATGGGAGGGGGTGAGGGGGGGGCGAGGGAGGGACGGGGTTGGAGGACGAGGGTTTTCGTTCGGTTCAAGAATGAGATTACAATTTGTCAGGTGCTGGTCCTGAGAGGGCGAAATCACGCGGATGGCACGGACGGAGAAGCGGCGAGGGCCGCCTCTTGGCAAGAAACTCGCGCGGCCGGCATTATAGTGTTCCGCCGGCCATTCTGCTGGCTGCGGCCACGTATTGGCCGCGGCAGCATTCTTTTCCTGCCAGATCGGCCAATCGATGCATCTCGCCACCGATACCCATCTGTCACTGTCCGAGGGGCCTAGCCTTTTCTCCGTTCGCGCGACCGGCGTGCCTCGAATCTCCCCGCTCAAATCCACCGCTTCGTCGTCAATCCTCTCTCTTCCGGTGCTTTCGCCCAACATTTTTCTTTCCTTTCTTTCCTTCCCTCCAATTCTTTTTATCCCGCGTTTAGTTCGAGAGAATCGGGTGTTGCGTTTTAACAGAATTTGCAACGTGCTTTGGAATGTCGCGATGAAAATTCTGTTGAAAATATTTTATCCGCGTGTGTTGTTCGGACGAGAGCAAATATTCCGATCGGAGACAGACCGATTTTCAGGAATCAACCACCATCCCTTGGACGAACTTGTCGAGCTCAGCCTGCTGAGAAGGGTAATTTTTCAGGATGGCAAGAACCGTAACAGCGAGGACGAAGGTATTTTCGGAGGCGAAGAAACGTGGACTTATCGCGGTCGCAATTCCAACGATCCATCGAACGCGGCTGCCGACGTCCCGCAGACGAGAATAGTTCGAGGGATCCGGCGGCCCGTCTTGCAAAAAGTGTCCCAATTATATATAAAGACAATAAAACGCGAGGCGGGACCGGCGGATTCCCACCCCGTCCAAGGTTGGACGAGGCTTCGTGCCCCGATTTTATGCCCGTCGATCGTAAATTCCGAAACTGATCCCAGCGCGTCGATTATAAAGAAAGTAAGGGAGGAGGAAGGGGAGAGTATCTTATACGCCGGGTATTAAACGAATTTGGCGGAAGGCGGATGATTTTGAGGATGATCGATGGTTTAGAGGGGAGAGTGAGTTTTCTTGTAGATTTTTCTGAACTAACATTATGGAAAATTTGAATCTTTGCGTACGAGGATCAGGTTATTAAAGTGGTTGAAGTACTATGAAATATCTAGGATTGAATAGCGGATCGTAACGATAATTGTAATCGAAGCATTTGAGATCCGATTACGATCCTCGTTTGATAAGAATTTACGAATGAAGGAGTACAAATCCGAAGCAACGTGAGACATTCGCACAATCCTCATCTTTGTCTGTCCACTCGCCTCGTGTATTTCACCTTTCCCTTCTCTCTCGCGAGTTTTAATGGAAGAAGGAAGGTGGCCACATGTTGCGGCGTATCGAAGCAGGCCAATTTAAGCGGCCGCCAAAAGCGAGGACGCGCGTTGCCTCTCGAAAAGGAAAATGGTTGGAGCGGGTGTCACATGTCCGGCGCGTTGAGCACGAAAGTGCCTCGCCACTTGCGTCCATGGATCAATTAAACGGGCGAAATTTCGCCGAAGAATTGCTCGCGTGTGCGTCGATGAGGGAACACCTAACGATCGCGAACAATCTCTGCTCCGATTCTCGAAAAACCTCGTGCAAATGTTTGCTCACCGAAGGAACCAGCCCATTATACTCATTGCTCGGCAAATAATACAACTACCCCGGCCAACCTGCCCGATTCGAGGGATGATGGAGAGCGAGAAGAAGAGGTCCAACCTACTCGATTCTCGAGAGATGGAGAATATGGAGAGAGAGAAAGGAAGAGAGAGCCTGCTCGCATCGAGGAGAATGTGAAACGAGAAAGAGATCTAAGAGAGATCTATTCTTTATTCGAAGGATGGAGAATATGAAATGAGAGGGATCTAACCTTCTTCTTTGCTCGAAACAAGACGAGGAGAGGAGAGGAGAATGAGAAAGAGTAATAGGGTTCGACTAGGGGGTGGAAAAGAGAGAAGGGGATGGGGTAGCACGTGTTCCCATGGTTTTAAGACCTACGTTTGAAAGCAAGCACCCCCGTTTACCATCCGGCCCAATTATCCCTCCGGCAACCCTTTCCATCCCTCTCTCGCGTTATTTCACCGCTGCCAATTACACGTATTTGCGTCCTCGACTCGGAGACTCGATTCTTGTGAATTCTTTATTGTTTCGACTACGGGACAAGGAACAAAGGGCGTTTTTCTTCGTCCCTCGCCTAGTTCCACGCCCGCTGCGATTAATCGGATTGTTGGGGTCGCGATCGAGGGCACGGATCGATTTTGCAAAGAATTCTCTCCAGAATTTTACGTCATCGTAAGGAAAAAAAAAAAAAAAAGAAATCTTACCGAGAGCGCCAGCTGCCAGCCTCATGGTGACAGGTAGGTCGGAGCCGGTGACTTCGGACAGCTTGCGCTTCCTGGGCCGGCCCTTCTGCACGGCGCCGGACGAGGTGATGGGGCTCTGCTCGGCGGCGCTGTAATAAGCCGGAAGCGGCGACACCCCCGGCGAACCGATGTCCTCGATACTCGTTGCTGCGCCCCCGTAATCCCCAGCGCAGCACAGCAACTCGTAGTGGGGTCTTGGGACCGACCAGCTCGTCATTCGTGAACCTTGCTGTCGAGTATTTGAGTGGCGACCCTGCGTTATCCCCCGAGTTCGATGAACGGGCGGACGCGCGCGCGTAACACGCTCGCGAGAGGCGATAGACGAACGGGCCGGCCCGCTTACCGCTCGATCCCCTATTCTTCCCTTCCTTCTTTTTCCATCCAACCATTCACCACTCCTCCCCCCCCCCCTATTTTTCACGTTTACCACGAATAATAATGAGAAACAGATTCACGTTTCTTGATTTTCTTGACAAATAAAACAGTGGAACTCCAACCGGATCCAGCTCGATCGATCGTTTACGTAAAATAATTTTGGATTGCATCGCTCGCAAAATTGTATCTAAATATAATCCGCTATATACTTTGTTTCGATCGTTTATAAACGGAGTTCCATCGTATCTAAGATATTGCTCCTCCGAAAATTTCGAGTTTAAATTCCCTCCTTCGTTTCAACCGGCACGTTACACTCGATCCGTCTCTTCTCTCTCCTCGAAATAGAAATAACGAAGTATCGAAGCGAAGATCGCGTTTATTCCACCCGTCGATCGAATCGCGAGCGGCAAGCGGCACCGCGACGTCTTTCCCTTTACGAGAGCGCGCGTCGAGCTCGATTCTTTCTCTCTCTCTCTCTCTCTCTCTCTCTCTCTCTCTCTCTCTCTCTCTCTCTCTCTCT